TTTAACGTCCAGGGTATCGGAATGTATTTTTGCAAGATCTAGTTCTTATTAATAAAAAACTTTACAAAGAGTTTTAGAACTTATTTGTGAGTAACAAATAGTAAATAACTGATCATGATAACTTAATTTGTGAAAAATAAAGTTTTGGGGTTGTTTGTTTGGCTAAAATAGTGAACAGCAGTGGAAATACCAAATAGCGCCTAGTTATAGGTACGTTCTATTTACCTCTCGGGCCCTGTGAATTAGTGTKATATGAAATACTGATTACAGAAGTTGCTAGAATCCATTAACACAACACGATGCAGAATTTTAATTATTTTTTGGTGAACAAAGGGACAATAGACGTGTTTGGCAATAGTTTTTCAAAAGCAGCTAAATCGGAAAACTCTATTAGGGTTTTCCGATTTAGTGACCTTTTCGTCGATTTGGCAATATCTTTATTGCCATGCATTGTCTTTTTTTCTAAGTATTTCATAACAATAGAATTCGGAAAGAATAGAGGCGAGAAAAATTAACTTCCAGCATTGTTACCGCGATAAATTATGGAGTGTCATGAAAGAATCCACTCCAGCGACTCTTCAGCTTTTCAGGCGGTTTGTGCTAGCATTAATGTTTAATTATTCAARTGCTTGTGTCACGTGAATATTTATATCATGAACTAAGGAAAGCATCGGCGATACATTTCTTTAACAGGAATGGACTATCAAATGTTTTACCGTTAACAAGCTTTCAAGACTTTAAAGATAATGGTCAACTTCAAAATGCACTCTGATTCAGCACGTGTTATAATTTGCTTAATTCGTACTTTTCTCGTACCGGTGCTTTGTTTTATTTCCTATATCAAATTATTTGAGTGGTTTTGCTTAACCTGTAAAATAGTTCAACAGTCTATTACATATTAGTAATAAAACACTATTTCCATTGTTTTTCTTAGTGTCTATTCGTCTGTTATCCCTAACTATTAGTTTCTGTTTTACAGGTTCAGTAAAATCACTCCATCCCTAGATCATAGTTAATCGAGGGTCCCCTCGATTAACTATGGCTAGATTAAACTGAAACAACAAGATCATTTTATATTATAGCTACCTCAACCCATCCCAAGCCTTACAGTATTGATTATACTACAGTGTATTATTACATGTAACCTGCAATTAGAGTGCCCTAGCCCGTCGAATCAAGAGTTTCCTTCGATTACTTAAGWACCCACAAGTACTAACTACTATCGGTAGAAACGACCGTTTTTGTCTAAAAATCTGTCCAATGGACTTATAGATCTTTAAGTACCCTATGGCATGTTCAATTTTCACACGTAAACGTCGTAAATGACGGTTTGCCCTTTGTTGGCGGCGGGTTCTTGCGATTCTGTGAGGAGTCACGAGAGGAGCTCTCAATGGATAGCCACCGTCGGCAAGAATTCGGGCATGTCTTGGTAATCCTAGCTGACCTCCAAATCCAATGTTTGGGAGGTACCGGTAGGTGCTACTGTCATTTARATGTCCAGGAAAGCCTGAAATAAGAAGGGTGATCATACCATCGGCATCAATGACCAACTGGGTTGACATGAAATGGACTTTTTTGTCCCCTCGATAAAACTCAGCCTGAAGTCTCCCCGATGGGCGTCGTATGCGATGTATAGTAGCATCTATCGAACCCACTGCATTTGGAAAGTGATTCCAATACCCCATAAATGAGGACCATTTCCTTAAGTTGTGCCATGTGATGAAGGATCGAAATTTTAAAAATAAGATGGGCACAACATGATATATCTCCTYGGAAACAGTACTTATAYTGATATCAAATATGTGAGCAAGATAATGGTATGTTGGATAGCTTCTCAACCAAATGACAGCAAGCAGTACTCTGTTGCGTACATCTAAAAGACARCGTCGTTGTCTATCAGTATTATAGGATAATGAAGTGGCACAATTTCCAAAATCGCGATGAGCAAAGAAATAACGTTTATCAGAGGCGGAAACGGTGGAGGGAAAGGTTGATTGTTGTCATGTAGAAAAAGGACATCCAGTGCAGATAATATTGATGTCAACGTACAGAACAGAAAATACGGAAATGGAGGAGGTGGATTTCTGTTCGGCATCTTTTAAGCGAAATGAATAAATGAAAGCTTCATAGATCAATACACTGATCATTTCGCATACCAAAACATGATTGTGTTACACTCGCATGAATACTGATTTGAGRAGAAAAAGAACGTGTGATTGTTCGTAATGAATTAATCAATTCCTTTAGAATTCTAAACACGTTGCTCGAGCTCCTACGCATTATCAAGGATGAGAGGTGAAATTTGAGAAGAAAAAGAAGGTGTGTTTGTTCTTGCCTTTCTGTCTGATCAAACAATCCCTTAATTAATTAATCAATGCCTTTAGAATTATTAACACAGTTTTCTCGAACTCGTACCATCCTTTTTTGAGAAGAACCTGTGAAGTATTCACGCTATGAGTATATAAATATGCCCAAAGTTTGAGAATGGCCACATTGACTTCAATCCGCATACAAGTTGTCTAGATGGAAGAAGACAATATTTTTCTACGAGCTGCTCTCACCAAAGAACTTCAAGAAGTTCCATGCCCGAGTTCAAGTACTTTCCCTACTGCGAGTACTATGTCTTTGCAGCAACGACCCAAGCCAAAGCAAATTAAAAAAAAGAGAAGTACACCAGTAGAGTTAATGCTAATTGGGAAAGGAATGAAAAAGTACGGAAGAGATTTAAAAGCCGTGGTTAGCTTCATGCAGAAACATTCAGAGGTACTCGGGGACCAGCTACGAGATTACTACCAGAATATTGGAACACCAGAAGGGCCAAGCACAAGAAAAGCCATGGYGAGAGTTCGCAAGATTGCTAAGAAGTCTTTATACAAAGCAAGGTGATTTTGAAAAAGACTTTTGAAATTCAGGTTCTTCTAAAAAATAGAATTTTAACGTTTATCTATTTTCTCTTTAGTGATTCTCGGCATGTACAAGAAGCTTCGACTGTTGCATCCACCAGTAAAGCAGTCAAGACTAGCGCCGAGCAAGAATTTAATAGTAGCGAAAGTGAGTTTGATATCGATAGTGACAGCGATTGGAAAGCCACCGAGAACGATATATTCAAAAAAGATACGCGATATACAAACATCCAAGGCTCTCAATCCAGAGAGGATATTTTGAGTGCTGTCAAGGATGGTGATGATGCAAAAGACCAAGCTGATGCAAAATCGAAGAGGAAGAAAAGCCAAAGATACGGTAAAGTCGTGTTTCTTGATGCTGGTAGCGAATGTCACATAATTGACTATAACTTTCCTGGGTTTTTTTTATACTTTGTATTCAACAGGGGAAAACAGACAGCTAAATCGAAAATGTCGAGTATTTTAGAGTCCCTTCCTGCGCTCATACAGAATGCAAACTCCGGCGGCAGCCAAAGACCATAGCAGGGCCGTGAAGACATGGATGCAAATAGATAGTTCAGACTCAGATTAACCATGCATTTTTTTTTTCATGTGATCTTAACTAACCTATTTAAAAGTCTTGAAAAGAAAGATGAATTAAAAATTGATTTAGAATTAGCATACGCGTACGATTGTTCTTTGATTTTATTGAGATTGTGTAGTTCCAGAAATTATCCATACCCCTATGGAGGAGTTTTYTTAAAATACGTAGTACCCAACCGAAAATTCCAATTTTCTTCCATACAAACTCTGTAATATTGTTCTTTCTTTGATCCCCCACTCCTCAGAAATATTAAATTCCTCTTTGAGGGGTAAGGGGTGGGGTGGGGGTATGGATAATTTCTGAAACTACACATTCCAAATCAGTTGAGAAAAGGTTTGATCGAATTCGCATTTAAATTAGTGTTCAGTATTTGTATAAATTCTGAAATCCTTAAATAATTTTATTGATACCAATAGTACACGATATGAAATAAAATATATTGTTTATAGACCAAACTGTAAAGAATGTACGGCTGAATAACTACGAGATTAATAAAAGTCAAAACCTCATATATCTTCGATCTCAGCTAGCTCTACGTGTGTTTTCAATCGGCCGGTGACGTCAACTGCTACAGGCCGTTTGGATTGATTTAGGTATTGCTAGTCATAAAAAAATTCCCATTGTTTTAATATGTACTGTTAGATTACTAGTATTTCGACAAGCAAGAAGCATTTCTTAATAAAATGTTATGTATATAAAATATTTTCTTTTTCTCACTAAATTCCTTGTTTTTCAATTATATTACATCTCCAATTGACTGTCACTTAGCGTACTTAGCGTACTTAGTGTAAGGATCGCCGATGGTATTCTGGAATCAAAGGTCACTAAATCGGAAAACCCTAATTAGTACTATTTCATAGAGTACAAACCTCAACACTAAAAGTGTGCAACRCTTTGCACTATTTAGTAGTAAATAGTGCTAATTAAACAATAGAAAACAATAGGATTAGCATAATTTAGCAGTATTTAGTGGTATTTACGTACACACTTGTTTGTACTCTACAGAATCCTTTGTTTTCTATTGTTTAATTATCACTATTTAGTGCTAAAAATTAGTATTTGTTTCACRGATTTAGTGTGAGCACTCTATTAGGCTTTATTTGTGTATTATATTATTTTTGATACTATTTTTGCTTGTCTTTAACTTGAGGTACAGTGCGCATGCTTGGCTTAATTCAGGTGCTTGACTTGCCTTAGGCCAGGGCGGGAGGGGTCCCTCCTGCTTGGCGTAAAATATGGCGAATGCTGAAGAAAAAAAATGGGAAAAGTGTTTGTTACGAAAAACTGAAAAGACAAATAAACGGGATAATTTTTGTTGGAACCTAAATATTTCTTGAAAATCTTCGCTGATACGATGGCAAAAATGAAAGAAGAAAAGACAAGAAGGAAGTGAAARGAAAAGAAAAGGTCTCCCTTATTTGAAATTGAGATTGAGAATTCTCAGTCTAATAGCTAAACGTAAAACTAATGTTCATATAAAGAAAATCTAAACAAACAATATGAGTGCTTGGGCTTGCTGTGGTAGCTTATTAGCTGTGCATCCGGTTTAGTTCAGTCCGGCTCGGTATCTTATGCGATCTGCCAAATTTTGGTAAATTTTTGCTATTATTGCCATTGCAATGCTTTCTACAATTGCTTTGATCTTATTATCTATCTCTGGAGTACTATCCACGCCGGGATCAAGAACAGAAAGACCAATTATTGGTGAGTTCTCGAAGCCTTGCCAATGATGAGTATGATACAAGACGGGACGTCCCGAAAACTTTCACGAAAAGAATCTCTCATTAGCTTATTGTAACTCGAAAATTAATAGGACTTTAGGACTCATACTAATGCTATTATTCATACAAAGGATTTGCAAATGAAGTAATTATTGATATTGGACTGCAGTGCGTCTTAGCTTTGATTTGTGTAATGTAATTTTAGGGATACTTGCTGAGACGACACACGGAAAAGCTGCAGAATATGGCAAATTCTACATAGCTGCGTCTTATGTAAAATACGTTGAAGCTGCTGGAGGCCGTGTTGTGCCGATATTGTATCCTTAAATAAATATTTCCTATTGACATGTCATGTGATAAGTCTCTATGGATACTCAACACATCGTCATCATCATCATATATTCAACAAATAGACATCAGTTTTTTATGTGTCTGTCCTCTTATTGACGATAAAATTATTGCGTCATCACATTGTCAAAGTGATGACGATAAAAACTTTTCATTTTTAGTKATCAAAACAACTAATGGAAAGAGAGTGCGCTCGTTGATGTCAGCTTTATCTCTCTGTCTTCTTATTGATGATAAAAAATAACCAATCAGCAYGCAAGAAATTTGTAAGCTATTGTAAAAATTTATATACAATATTTTTCTTAACAGCCTTTACATAGCCCTAATGCTACCGTGGATCAAGTGAAGCAGCTCTTTCAATACATTAATGGGTATAAATCAAATTTTCTGATACTACCCAATATATCCTCCTCAGACCCTCCCCACCCCTTGGAAATACCAATCCCTCTTTATGGAGGAGGTATGGATATTCTCTGGAACTACACAATATACCCTCCTCAGACCCTCCCCACCCCTTGGAAATTCTAATCCCCCTCCATGGGGAGGGATGGATATTTTCTGGTACTACACAATATACCCTCCTCAGACCTTCCCCACCCCTTGGAAATATGAATCCCTCTTTATGGGGGAGGTATGGATATTTTCTGGAACTAAAAAATATATCTACCTACAAATAAATKACCTGTATAGCATTTCCTTGTGAAAGGGTTGAGGAAGGGCAGACATCTTTCATTAAGCTTAAACTATATTTTAAATATTTTTGTTATGCAGAGCTCTTTTCCCTGGAGGTGGAGTCAGCCTTACTAAATCTGGCTATGCTGAGAATGGAAACATTTTATATCAGTTAGCTATTCAGGTATAAATTTATTTATTTTTTTATTGTTTGTTTCTGAATTTATACTAACTATATATGCATTGGTTTAGAAAGACATATTATGGAATATTCCAAGAGGCACTTGTGTTTTTCTCGTACAGGTTCAGATCCAAGGTTTCCTTCGAGGGGGGTTCTGCATAAAAGATACCGAACCGAAAAAATAGAACAGCACATTCTTTTAAGAAGAAATTGAAATTCTCKTGAGGGGGTTGCAACCCTCACAATTCTCCCCTTGGATCTGCCCGTTGGGTACTGTATGCACATGATCAGCCTTCAGGCTAGAGATATTCTACCCAAAAACCATTGCATAACTATTATATAGCTTACCTTAGAAGATTTCAGTGCATGATGGGAAGGAAGAGGGATATCGACAAGCATACATAGATATTTTTGTTTCATCCATTCTGATTTACTGTATTTCTTATGGCATAAAGGATAATAAAAGTAAAGTACCTATATTTAACGTCGCTAGTTCCTTCAGTTGAAATTCAACTGCTATCAATGGAAGCCGACGATGCGCACGTCTTCACCCCCTCTCTCCATCAGTGCTCTGAGGCTACACRGATTAGAGAAGTTGAAACAGACGTGGAGATCCTAAGGATCGAACCGTGGACCTCAAGCTCTGAAGGTTGCGCACTAACTGAGCTAYGCCTGCTCATAAATAATATAATGTATCATCATTTTTTTCTATTCCATTTGCCAGGCCAGTGACAAGGGTGTTGTCTTTCCAATATGGGGATCTTGTCTTGGCTTTGAGTTATTAACAGTAATATCAAGTAGTAACAAGGTGGTCTTTTCTCACTTGGATGCCGAGAACTATCCAACTCCGCTCAACCTCTCAGAAGGCAAGTGAGCAAGTACATGTAGTCTTCTCAGCAGACGTTTTTCATATTTGTCCGAAAGCTGAGGGAGTTTCGGACCCACACTAAAAAAAGTCTGCAAAGGAGACTAGTGCACAAGGAACAATCCAAGATTTAAGTAATGGAGTGAGGGGAAAATGCTAGAAATATCAGTAATACTGGGAGTGCTTGCACAGTCTCCCAAGGCAGAGGCTCATGAATAGTGTTTTCAACTTTCATTGGAATGAGGGTTCGTGCTACTCCTTAAACTCCTTGAAAACTCCTTGAATTTAATTCACGTTTTCAAGGGCACTTGAAAAGCTCTTGAATTTTATGATTTAAGCGAAACTCCTTGAAAACTGCTTGAATTTTTGCTTTGATCATTACTTGCATCGTTCWGAAATAGATCTASTCAGAAAGATTGGAAAATCTGAAAGTCGGCCATGTGCAACCACCGTGTAAAACCTTGGCATAGTTAGCTGAACATACTCCTTGGAAATTCATTTTTGGGTCCTTGTATACTCCTCGAATAGTCCTTGAATTTTAAGTGGTTACCTCAGCACGTACCTTGTGGAATACTGAAGAACCAAGAGAAAAACCCTCAAAGCACGAGAGAACCACAAATTTTCTTTACTCACACACACCAACCATGAGACCTGTTGACCACGAGTCCAATTTTTCAAATTTTATGCTTTTCCTAAAAATCACTAACTCTTCCCCAATATTACTATATCCTAATTATTATAAATATGTTTTTATTAGATTTCAGTGAGAGTAAAATGTTTAACAAGGCAACTCAGGACATGATCAAAGCAGTCCAGCACTCAAGGATTACAATGAACAATCATCAATGGGGAGTGACTCCAGAGGTATGTTAGCCAACACATTTATGTTCCTCTTCAGGGCAGACCTGCCCATGGGTGGGTGGGGATAGAAATAATAATAATAATAATAATAATAAACTTTATTACTGTGTCATGTCGTTCTAGCTTATTTAAATAAACTAATTGGGGACACCTATCACATTCATGTAGCCTCCTAAACCATAACTCGTTTACTCCACTACTTATATCACTCATTTGTGTTTTCAAACGTAAGAATTATTTATCAAATTGAGCTGATCCTCGCAGTATATGAAGTAATTACTTATGCAGCTGCAAATTGAAAGACTCAGAAAAAGTCTTGAAAGACACAAAAACAGTCTTGAACGGGATTTGAACCTGTGCCCTGACGATTACGGTGCCCTGGCRATTCCTGTGCCATGCTCTAACCACTGAGCTACCAAGTCTTATACGAGACATCAAGGACACATTAGATGGGTTTTATAAGAATTATTACAAGTTACTTTTTTAATCAGAGAATCTATCTTTGTTTGGAAAATAAAGACAACAGCTTAYGTCACAGCAATTAGCGCTACATAGTTGTTACCAAAGTCTTTATTACTGTATGATATATATTGTTTGTCTCTGCGAACAGTCTGTGATAATGCAAGCAAATGCATTCATTGATTTAACAGAAAGCAGCAAGAACAAACCATCATATCTCTTTAAAAAACAATTTATTAAAGATTATAAATATAATAATAATTATTAATATATTACTAATATTAATCTGTAACAATAATAATTTTTACTTACATTTTAAAATTCTATTGCAAATTATTCCTGACGATATTACTAAACATGTTCTCTGTTATTTGAAGAATTTTCAGAAGGATCAAAGTCTTTCTAGTTTTTACAGAATTGTTTCGACAAACAAGGATCGAAAGGGCATTGAGTATGTTTCCACCATTGAAGGTAGGTGGTGTTATAGAATATACACAGACCTTTTCAGAGTTCCATAAACTGGATGCATTGTGGCGTAGCTTGGGTACAAACAATTTGTACGAACGATACCATAAAATACATGGTGATCCAAATATTTGTGCAAGCCCATCACTAGGACCTTGAAAGGGGATGTTCATTTTTCTGCCAATCTTAGTCATGCCATAATTATTTTCTCGAAAAAATTAAAACCGTGCTAAATATTATTTTATTTGTACTATGAGGATAGGGCAGTTTGGTTCGAACCATCGAACCGCTCCTAGCCACAGGCCTGGTTTGTACCCAAGCTAGACCACGATCCACTATAATTGCTATTTTAGAATACTATACCCTCAAGCAAATCCCTAAATTTTCCATATTACAAACTTCATTCACTATTGCCTTAATTTCCAGTCTGACATTGTCATAAAAATTCAAATTATATTAAACCCTGAAACAACCTAGACTGGAATGATACACTCAACTCACATACAATGCCGAGTTCAGGAATTGAACTTGAGGCCCCAGAGGTGAAGGGCAAGTGAATGCTCTACTACAACACCACCCTTGATTCTCCCAAAATGGTCACATGTACATGTAACATATACCTTGTCTAAGAAATTCTATTCATATTTTCAGGTATTAAATATCCAATATTTGGGGTTCAATGGCATCCAGAAAAGAACCAGTTTGAGTGGTCCACCAAAGAATCAATACCACACAGTACTGATGCTATTCATCTTGGACAGTATATGGCAAATTTTCTTGTTGATCAAGGTAGGCTAGTCTTCTCTGTTTACAACAGGCTTGCATTGCTTCGCTAAGTTCAACAATGCAACAACTTGTACAACAATAAGTTAAGAACTTAAGTATTTGCCAAAACACATACAGCGATTTCCACTTGAGTGCACCATGCATCGAATTTGTTGATTTTGAAACGTTTGCTGTCTCGGTCGTCCAAGCGCTGCTCAACTGTTAAAAGAACACATTGTCTTGTCACATTTTACTGACGAGACTGAGACAGACTGTCTAACACTTCAAATGAGCTTATTAGCAAACATTTCAAAATCAACAAATTCAGCACATGTTGCACTCAAGTGGAAATCGCTGTATTTGTCATATTCTTAAAATGTTTGAACTGCGAGCAAAGCTCCCACTCAAGTTATCAATGTCTTTATCCTTACATAAACTAAGGTACTTTACTTTATTGAATTCTCAGCACGCATGAATGATCACCATTTTCCCAGCCAAGACAAAGAAGATGCTGCCTTGATTTACAACTATAATCCTACATACACAGGACACTTCTCAAACTTCACTCAGTGCTATTACTTTTAATTTGGTAAAAATAAACTTAATATGATTCCTCTCTTTGATTCCCTAAGGAAAGTGTACACCTAGAACATCTATTAAGCAGCCACTCTCATGTAATTGTCAAGTGGCTGCAAAATAGAGGTTAAATATTATTTTTTACTGCGATTTTACACAAAAAATAGCATTAATTGAGTTATTTTTGTATTGATTGTTGATTAATTTTATTGATATTTTTTAAGTGTCTTTATGCACCTTTGGTAATTATATTCACTTTATTTTCTGGTTGACAATCACCCAACTCACGGTCGACACTTGGCCGACCATCTGATTCTCACCAACAGTTGGCCAATTGTCAACCTACACATATTATTTTCTAGAACTCAAAATTCATTCGAATTTTTTAAATAAAGTTTCTCAATGATTCATTTTTTTTTTTTCACTGGTGACAAAAATTGTCCCATTACATGATGATCGGAACAATGTAGTTCAAAAGTTAAAGCAGTAGCAATATTGATTATCATTGAAAACAGAAAAGCCAAAAAACTATAAATCTTTAATTATTTTTAGCATAATAAAAGTATCAAACATTTTATGAAAATTTCAACACGCCAAATATTTTATGATAAATTTTGTAATATATTTTTTAAATTGTACTTTCCTTAATAAATGATATTCTTGTGTTATTTAAAGACATTTCAAATATATATTAAAATTATTTACCTTGGGGGTTAAATCTCGCTGGATTGCCATGAAAAATAGAAATTTAAAGCCCTGTTGACGTCGCAATCAGCGGCTAACGTTATTCGCAACAAATCTCGTCTTGGTATCGAGACTCCTAAGATTTCTGTAAGTTCTTGCATACATTTTTCGATTTTTGTTTCATGATGTCCCTGTTGTGAATACTGTTCGAATAAATGCCTTCTTGTGAGCTCTTCAAGGTTTGGTCTCTTGAAAAGATGTACAATATATTAATTTATTATATAGCCCCTTCTCTATGCATATTCTGATTGGTCAAAAACTGTGGTGTATTAGTAAACAGAGCATTTGTGCTGACACCATCCACATGTGTGCAGTTGGCTTCAACTAGGGTCAAACGTTGAACTTCACATGAGCCAAACCTAATGACAAGAAGGAAGACTGCCTAGTTATCAGTTGTTTCAATTAGATTCGGCTCATGTGAAGTTTGACCTTTGACCTGAGCCGTAGATAGTCCGAACGCAGCATATTTCTCATTTCCATATCAATTTAATACCTTTGATGATTCCAATTCTTTACTTTTCAGTTTTTCTTTAATCCTGCAAATAAATAATAATTGTTGCTTTTGAAAAATAAAAAAGGTTTTAACTTCAATTATTGAGAATTGAAAAAACACTGGTACCTACTTTAAATTTTCTAGATGTTGTTTCACCTCCTGTTGTAGTTCCGGGGATAGTTTGTTAAATTCCTCTGATTCCATGTAGATTTCTGGGTTTGTCATGAAATCTAAACATTTGCTCTGTTGAAACAAATAATAATATTTTTTAGCAAAAACCAACGAAAAAGTTATTAGGAGCCTGGCAACACACGCTTTCATTGGAGAGCACTTGCGTCTCAATGACAAGACTTGTTTGAATCTGTATTTTTACAATAGAGGCTTAGCACCATCACATGATGGCAGCCAGGACAGGAGACAGTAGCAATTGAACCTGGTCAAATCTGGTTTACATTTTAAAAGGAATTCAGTTTCCCAGGGGAAAAAGACTCTATTGTTGTGCCGGCCTCCTGTAATGGCTGTAGCCACATCACGTGATGGTGCAAAGCCGCTACTGTACACCACACAAAAAAATTCACGAAAAGGTAAAATGTGAGTAGAGTTGTTTTGTTTGTGTGTTCTCTTGTGTGTTTTAAGGATTTCTCTCCAGGCTTCCCAGTTTTTCTCCCTCTAAATTTTTTTTTTCAAATTACTTATTGGATTTGGTAGGAACTAGCTCTGTGGAACGATTATTGAATGCAATTAATTTTATTTTAAAATAATATATACAATAAAATAATATATACCTTGAGTTGTGTAGCATTGTATCTGTCAGCCATACTCAACAGATATAGAACTGTATCGTCACTGATACAGGCACATAAAGACATTTCACATGCTTCTTTCATATGATCCACCTAACAATAATCAATAATAATTTATTAATCTATCAATAATTATTAATCCATTAACATTAACATAATAGTGTCGAGTCATGAATTAATAATATACTATAATTATTGTTAAAGTGCGACCTGCAAAGTTTTGATGCCTAGTTTGCCAACTAGCATTAAAAACTAAAATAAAATAAGATGAAATGAAATGAAATGAAATAAATAAAAATAAAAAATCAATATCATGAGGGAGCCTTTTAAAATCCTCTTTATTCAGTCCAAAATCTCCCTATTGTTTTCTTTGATTGAGATTCTTTAATTGGTGGTCGTTAAAATATTAGTTGGCAAATGAGACATCAAACTTCTCAGGTCGCACTTCAATGATAATATGGTAGTAACTCTATCATTATCAGGAGGCATCTTATTACCTCATACATGTCTGTTAGCATCATCATCTCAACCAGCTGGTCTATGCTCATGCAGTTTGTATTTATTGTTCCACTGTACAAAGACTCAAGAAATTTATGGAATAAATGTGGATTGGTACTTGGCACCAAAATTGTTCTGAAAAAAAAATCAAAAATGTGTCAGAAACACTTATATTTTTTAAGTTATATTTTTTGATTGCCGAGTTTCACTCGTGACGTCATTTCCTGTCTTGTATGTAATGTTCATCAGCTGAATCACAAGTTTTCAATATAATTTTTCTGGTTAAAAGCAGATGGTGGTCAGTGTTTGACCACCATTTGGAGCAGATAAATGAGATTCAAAGACAATCAGCTGATTGAAACCCAGCAATGAAATTCTTTAAGAACTTTCATTCTGACAATATTAAACAGCCCCAGGTTTAGGGAACACATACAGTGTGCCCTAAAAAGTGGTAGGGCTAAAACAAGTCAGGTTATCAAGGACCACAGAGCACCATAAAAGGTTGAGGGGTGGGGAGGGAGGAATGAATCCCCTTCCCTCCTTCATGGTACTTCATGTTCCATAAAATGCATTCTTTGTTTGCACGTTATGTCATCGCGGCCATGTTGGTATCATTTATCAAAAGATTTCTCATTAGCATCCATTGTTAGCGGTACCACAATGGCCACCATATTTTTGTCTTTTAACTCTCTTGGGAATGCTTGCAACCCATTAATAATCCCTGAGGAATTCTAAAAAAATACCTGTCTATGGATTCCTTCATTCCGCTCAAGAGAGCACATTTGAAAAAGGTACATCGAGCTGCTAGAATAACACGATGAGCTTTAAATTTGACAACATTTTCCTCTGTTTCATTTAAACTTTCATTTTCCTTCACTTCACATGTTTTCCATTTCAAAAGATTGTCATCCCCAGGTTTCCTCTCTGTGTCGGCACAGGCCTGGCAGCTCAGGTGTTCTAAAGTATCTTTGTTGTTTGTTGTCTTGTCTTTTGAGGTAGAATCACCAACAATGAATGTCATGTCAGCATATTTCCCAGACACTAATAATTTTGCTACTTCAGTGGGAAGTTGACTATCGATGGTTGAGTCACTTGAAGTGGAATCAGATTTCATACAATTCTGCAAGAAAAAAAACTTTTAGGAAGGTCATTTTTTTGCAGCATAAAGACTAAAATTATTGCTTTAGCAAATGGATGGGTTGCTAGTTAATTGCAGGAAGGTTCCCAGCTATCTGTCTTACCCAAAATGATTCAGATACTCAATTAAACACCTGGGTGGAGAGAGGCATCAACAAATGTCAGTGCATTACACATTACCCCAAGTCCCTTGTCAGTTTAAACCCAATAGTTTGTTGGTACCCATTTAAACAAGTGAGTGTGGTGAGAGGCACTCGTGTAAGAATACCAGTGCATCACACATGACCCCCAGTGCCTTGTCAGTTTACCGTTTACCCCCAATAGTTGTTTGTTGGTACCCATTTAAACAACTGAGTGGAGAATAATGTGAAGAAAATAGACCTTTCCTGAATTTGCTTGAAGGACCACAAAACAGTTGCTCCAATTCATGGTTTGACTTGGTGTGTTCATACATCTATAACTGGCGCAATTGTTTCATGGTCACAAAAGGGAATTTAAGAATTATTATTTTCATAAACACCCTACCCTTGGTTTTTGTTTAGGCACAGGTGGTGGGCATAGTTGTGTTGACGCACACCCCTGTGGTAGGGATTCCATCAATTTTAAGTCTTTCATCGCCCTATTAAATGACTCATGGTTAACGAGTTGGCACATATGGTTGATAGATGGCTGAAGAGCACTTTGATTTTGCTGCACTCTTTCCAGTAACCAAGACTGAGAAGAAAACAACAATAATTATCAGAGATTATTAATCATCTTATTCAATAAAAACACAGAGACAAATAAAACTCCTTAGATTTTAGAAAATCATTTGAATAAATCACATATTTTATAGTGAGTGAACTGCTTAATGTTTTAAAATATTTTCACAGCTGTATCCAATAGTCCCCTTCACAGTTCCCTGCGCCATCTTGAAAGGTAGCTGTGCCTTTGAATCAAAGCGAGAGGGACGGTGAGCTTGCAATGATAGAGACGTGCGAATAATTGTCCAAGGTGTTAAAAAAAGGTCTCTATCATTGCAAGCTCACCGTTTGTCTTGCTTCAATGCAAAGGAACGGCTACCTTTCAAGATGGCGCAGGGAACTGTGAAGGGGACTATTAAAGAATGAAATCATTCATTTTCGGTGATTAGCAGAGTGTTCAATACTGGACATCAGACATGATCTTTACTTACAACTCGTGCTGTTCCAACTTTGAATAGACTCTTGCATGCTTTAAACTTGAGATCAGTTTCAAACATGTTTGGGAATTTCTCCAGTGAAGGGAGATATACACCATCAATCTAGTGAATAAAAACAACAGCAGTTATTTTTCAGCCAAAAAGAACGGCATATGGTGGCTCAATACCACGCTCTTTACGTGCAAGCTGTCACTGCCATCTGCAGACACAGCCCCAATGTGATCACTTTGAAAGGGCAAAAAATGGCATTATCAATATACCTCATCTGTTAAGAAATCAATTGCCTTTATCACAGCTGTAACTTTTCTTTCTGGATTCATAGCACTGAAATCCTCCCTAAAACAAGGTAAGTAATAACAAGAAATAATTACTAATAGAACAAGTAAGATAAGGTGAAGATACTGATCACAGTTGTTGTAAATATCAATAACAATATTGACAACAATTGGCCATGAATGGCCGCAGTCAAAAATGATAGACCATATTAATTTGGTCAATTAGTCACTCAACTACAGTGGATCAGTTGGCCCTTGGCTGCTACTATGCAAGGGCGGATCAAGGGGGGCCAAGGGGGCTGAAGGCCCCCTTCAGCAGAAAAAAAAAACAAAACAAAACTGAAGAATTAGATGCTTTTTTATTGTTTTCCATTGTGTTGACGAAAGAAACTCAATTAGCCCCCCCTCCTAAAATTTTGGCTGCATTCGCCCTTGCTATGGTGTACTCTGTAACCATGGAATCCACCAAAATTACTAAGCAAAGAGTTTTGCTGACCTTTTCTGTAAAACAAAGACAAATGTTGATCTTGCCTCTTCTTGGATTTTTTTCAAAATGTTCAGTTCCCTTAAATGAATCACCTGGAGTAAAGCAATGACATGCAGAAATACTGATTAGGGTTTGAAGAAATGTCAAGTGCAATAGGAGAAGAAAGGCAGAGAAGAAGCAAAGAAGTGGGATTTTAAACTGGGAGTAAGATTATCATGTAAGAGATGAAAAATCCAGTTCAAAAGAAAATGGGAGGGGGAGAATGAAAAAAGAGGATGAGAGAGAATATGCCGAGGAAGTGAAAGAGGGAGAAATAGAGGAGGATAGAAGAGAATAAGCTGAGGGAGCAGGAGAAGAAGATGGACAAGTGAAAGGGATGGAAAAAAGAATATGGGAGAGAAAAGGGAGAGGGAGGGAGAGAAGAGAATAAGCTGAGTCAGGAGAAGAGGGAAAAGGAGAAGAGGATGGGAGCAAGAGGGATGGAGAAAAGAATATGGAAGAGAAAAAGAAGAGGGAGGGAGAAAGAGAAGAGAATAAGCTGAGGGAGGGGATACAAAATAATCATCTAGGAGTTGAAGGAGAAGAGAAAAGTCAAAGGATATTTTGAATTACATTTTTAAATGTTCTACTCAGTTTGTTGCCGAATGCAGAGTGTCGTTTCTTCTTCTGTTCATCATCTTCTTGTTCTACTATTTCATCTAGGGTTTTTTGTGCATCAGTGATAGTGTCAGATATAACTTTCCAAAAGTTTTCAATCTGTAAAAAGGTTTTTCAATATAATTGATAATAGATTGAAACAATTCTGTCAATAAAATATGATCATTTAATGATGCAAGGGATGGATGGAAAGTTGGATTGAATGGATGGGATGGATGGATGAAATATGGACGGATGAATAGATGGACAAATGGGATAGGAAAAATGGATAAACGGTAGCATTGGAGGCATTGATAGATATCTAGGTAGATGGATAAATGGGATAGATGCATAAATGGATAGATAGATGGGAATAATGTTGTTAAATGCTGAACATTTCAACTGCTCATTACCTCGGGAATAAGATATGTTACTACTTCTTGCTGCCTAGCCTCAGTCAACAGATATTTTACCAACACCTCACCACAAACAAGCAACAGAGAATGAACTTTAGAGACGATTCCTGGAAGTCTTAAGAAACAGAATACTTGATATATTAAAAAAAAAACTTCCAATAACAGTCATGTGATTATGTCCTACAAATGGCCTATTCACAATTATGGGAAAAGAGATTGCTTGCTGGTTCTCGCCTGTGCTTTAAGGGTTTTTCTTTAGCCTCCTCCACAAGTACCCCATATATTCTCTGTTGGGATCCCTGTGTTAAATCTTACCACAGGAAGCCCAAGAAGCAAAAAGAGCCAAGGATATGCCTCCGGTTGTCATTCCTTTGCAACATTTCATTTCTAAATTCCAACTTGATTATGGAACTAGCGCCATAGGATTGTTAGCCACTTGGCTATTGCATGCTACCCTTGAGTGCTACCCAAACAGGATTTATGTTTTCATTTTGTTTAGTACTAACTAGTACAAACCTGTTTCTGATGCTTTCTATGATCTTGTGTCTCTCTTTCCTTGTCAACTCATTCTTTCTTTGTGAGAACACATCACAAAGAAGAACAAACTTTGCAATTGCTACATGTCAAGAAATACATACGTCCAGAGGTAAGAAGGTTGCTACCAAGTTCACATTGCATTGAGTTTAATATTAGTAGCATTTCTTAAGGGATGGAATAGGATAGATGGAGAAAGGGAGAAAAATAGATATTGGGTGGGAATGGATTGAGTGAGAGAGGAAGGGATGAGTGGATGGATGAATGGCTGGCTGGCTGGATGGACGGACAGATGGACAGATGGATAGACATAGAATTAATTGAGAGGGAGATGGATTGATTGCATTATTTTTCTCTTTTCTTTATGTGCTTCAAATTTTACAATCTGATTTGTCCTTCTCTCCCCTTTATAAGCTTTTACTGTTGCTTTATATAGTGGTTTTCCACCATCACGTGATGGCACCCATGTTAGATGGTAGGAACAATACAATCATTTTACATGAGAAAGATTTCAATTCCTGAGAGTGATTCTATTGTTATGCCATCTAACCACAGGCAACCCAAGCTGTATTACGGCACGTGATGGGGCAAAACCTTTATAGCTACAAGTGCTATTCATACCTATTGCCACTTGTTGTGCTACTGCCTTACTGGCAGCAAGAAGCTGTTGTGGTTGAACAGTTGACATATCTGGGGAATGTACACTGCTGATAATGCTTGTGATGCTGTCAATAGCCTGTTCTAGGTCATTTACAAGAGTATTTATTTCTGAAACACACAAAAATATAAATCATACTATGCGGCAGAAGAAAGGGAAATCAAGGCTGGTCTAGCAGTAGTGCACTCACCTTTCACCTCTGGGGTCGGTTTCCTGGGGTCTCAGATTTGATTCCTGGACTTGGTATCACATGTGAGTTGAGTTTGTTAAATCTCTCCCTTTATTTCCTAGTTTTCTCAGGGTTCTCTGTTTTTTCTCACTCCACAAAACCCACATTAAATTCCAATTCATTCTGTGAGTTAGCTGAGGCCCTGACTTACATCAGAGGTTGTTTCAGGTTTCTATCTGTGAGTTAGCCCTGCCTTTGAAATTTAGCTATACTTACTATGAATAGCTGCTGTTGCCTTCAGGTAGTCCTCACACATCTTTACCAGAGGACCAAGACATGTCACACTCTCTACAGCCTTAAGGGTCTCCCTGATGGTAACCTCTTCCTGTTCTTCCACCAAAGTACCAGTATATAGATAGTGAAGAATGACCCTGAGGACATTTGGTGGCAGGTCTTGGATGAATGGAGGTATTGTGTCCCAGTCCTCATTGGGACATAAGCAAGAGAGTATTGTCTTATGAACAGCAAACTGGAACATAAAAAGATCGAGTACAATGAATCAAAACCTTACTTAGAGAACCTTATTCTAGAATGACACGATATAATAGAAAATAGCCATACCTTTTCTCCATTACTTGCTGAGAGAGTCAAATCTGAAAAATATCCCTCTTTTAAAGCATTAAGAAGAGAGAACTTGGTTGCAGCTTGTAACATTCGTTCTTCTAGAATCTATATTATAAACAGAGAATACAAATTTATTGTATTTGTATATATATATATACAGAACATACATGTGTTACCTAAAATTTCAAATGGACCTTTTATGATCGGATATAATGTATTATTTCCATCTTCTAGTGATACTGTGGAATCCTACACATTGACATCTGTTGTTCTAAGCGTTCAAACCAACATGTTTTAATCTGTGCTGCTATGTTGATGTCTCAACATTGTGCAGTTTAAGTCTGGGGTCACAGCTTTGATTCTCAACTGAACTACATGTGTGAGAGTCAAGTTTGTTTGATGTGTTGTTTTCTCCCTTGCCACAATGGGTTATCTTCAAGTTCTCCAATTTTCCTCCCTCCATAAAAATCAATATGTGAGTGTGGTGTGAATGTTGTGTGTTGTGAACAGTGAATGTAGTGGTAGTGAGTGTGCAAGTGTGCAACAAACCTGGTATGAAAAACCCTTGCATGGAGTGATGATTGTAAAATGTTTAAAATATGAGTCAGAGTGAAGGATGAACGATAAAGGAATTTACTTTGTTGCAATTGAGTTTGAGGTTTCGTCCACTTGTTAGAACCAGCTGATCCCCAGAGAATGATACCTATAGGTGTAAATATAGAACAATGTTACAAAACAACCTGCAGAACAAAGAACTAAAAATAAATCCTAAGAGAACTAACTATACCTATTTATACAGCTTCTCATTAATCCCATATAGGTAACTGTCCAATTATTTTCTTAATTGGACAGGTCTTGCTGATATGGGATTAATTAGGCAGCTACATAATTAATAGGTAATGGGATTTCATGCTCCCCAATCAAGAAATAATTAGACTTGAAATATTCCTCTGACTGCCAAATTGGACTCAGCCTACGGCCTCATCCAATTTTGTCAGTCCTCGGAATTTTCCTCGTCCAATTATGGAGTCCTATTACATATACTAACATACCTTGAATTCTATCCAATGTCCAGTATCCGGTAAATAAAAGTGGATTTCATTTTTATTCGCAACAATCTATGAATATGAATCACATAATTATTATCAAACCCTGAAACAACTACTGGGATGGGTAGCTTATGGATAGTATTGGAATTTAGTGTCATAGGTTTTGATGAAGGAAGATAAGGAAAAGACCTATCAAACTCTACTCGCATGTGATGCCGAGTCTGGGAATCAAACCTGAAAACACAGAGGTGAGAGTTACATGAATTAATGCTATAGACCCCTCGCAGCACTTTGGAATGCAGCTCAATCTGGGGGACAAAACAGGAGGTTCCAATTCTAAGGAGATTGGAATTCTTTATGTCCCCCAGAATGAGCTGTTTTGGCGTCACATGCGAGAGGTCTATACCATGCTTGATTTCCATTGAGAAGTGAGAGATCAATTTAAAATTCATAAAAATTCATATTTGAGTGACAGCTTGCTTACAGATATATATATACAGTAGAGCTGCAAATACAATACAGTAATAAAACCTAAGGCGTAAACCCACTAAATTTATCCAAGTTATAATAAATAACTCGTTTTTTTGCTCTAAATTAATAAATATTCGTACCTCAAATGTCTGGCACGTCAACAAGGGAAAGCTTTCTTGGTCGTTTTTAGACTGTAGTTCTTGTGTTGGACCCCAAGTTACATCGTCTCCTTCATCGAGAGTAAATTCCACTCTAATTCCAATAGACATACAGTTATTTCAAGCCATACACGTCTAAAAAATACGATAATCCTTACCCTTTGATATTTTCATGCGTTCCATCGCTGGACTCACAACAAATAATCTGCTCAAAGGGAAAAAAACATTCAAATTCATAATAATTCTTGAGCTCAAAAGTCAAAAATATCCGGCCTAACAAACCTGCCATGTTCCAAGGAGGTTTAAATCTACAAACTTATTTTTTCGGGGCATGTTATTAGCGAAAGAAACGCTCCATTCAACTTGAATTTAGGAAAACAAAACAGAAAAATGTCACACATTTGTTTTTTATTTCGATTTGATCTCCATCTCTTCCATGTGCTACTGAGTCTGCGCGACACTCACGGTCACAGACTGGGCGTAGGTCTAAAAACGCGCGAAAAAAAAATTCCTACAATTTCTTAGTTCAATTTTCAATAATTTTCCGCTATCTTTTAACAGAGAGGAGAGAACAATAACTAAAATCTAGGCAGTTTTGAAGCATGAAAATGTATATTGCTGGGTCAAAACCGGAAGTAAGGATTCTCATTACGTCACAATTTATTTATGGGCCATTTTGAACACGTAATATTTGTTGACGCTTCTATGAAAAATGTCAGCAATTTTTAGGTATATTTATATGTATGAAACAGCGACTGAAATGTTTAGCATACTGTAGCCCTAAATTCTTTTCGTTGCCATGCGACGTTTTTCTAAGCACTCGATGTCAGAAACTCAGTCCCTTCCCCAAAATATATAAAAATTTCGTACGAATGAAATGCAGTTTTTGAATCGTTTTATTTTGCTTCTGTAAGAACGGAAATAAATGAAACACACACAGTAAAATAGTTATCATATTACACACAAGAGAAAACTGAAAAACGTAGGGAAAAAAGCTTTCAAACATATTTGCTTGGAATTTGCATGATACTGATAAATATGCGGAACACATTAGTATAGATATCTTATCTTATTAGTAGGAATTAAATATACAGTATGAACAGCAAATGCAGTTTGAATTTTGTTTCCAAGTAGAGCAGGAGCGAGTGAAAAACTGACAACAAAATGGCTTTCCCTCCTGAACCAACCAGGAAGTTAGACACTATCCAATCACAGTGCTGATATAGGAAAGCCATTTAAGAGTGCACTAAAAAACCTTTTATTTTTCAACCCCTTTTTCTGCAAATATAACAAAACTAAAAAGAAAATCACTCGCATTCCCATCGTCTATTTTCCCAAAGACGTTCAGTTTATACAGTCCTTTCGAGGGAAGTTGGACAGAAATATTTTTAATCGTCCTATTTTCATCTGTTGCTGTTGTTGTTTTACAACAGCCATGGATGGTTTCTTTTTCCTTCTGGATGTACTCCTTCACCTCGGTGAGTTTTTCAGGACATTCAAACGAAATCTCCGCTCTCCCGTCTGTGGAGTAGATATTTTCTCGAGGTTTAACAAGCTTCATTCCCAACTTGTGAAAAACATCTGATGCTAGTGGGAATCCTACAGCCGCGCGCTTTTCTTTTTCTGAGCTGTGAATGAAATAGCTACAAAAGAACACATTTGTTCCCTTTTCGCTCGTCCCAAAGATGTTTAACAAGTACGTTCCTGCACCAGGGGTATCGACTTTCATTTCAAGGCTGTTACTAGTGGTCTCAGTGAAGTACAATTCTTGATTTGTAAGCAAGTTCATATTCGCGCCATCTTGTCTGTGGACATTACCAAGGAGTCTTATGGACGAAATATCCAAGTTACACAGCTCCGTTGCTTTAATTTTGATTGTTGCCTTTCCATCTTTAGTTAAGATGTTCTCTCTCGGCTCAACAAGCTCTAAACCCCAGGAATACAAGTGATCTGAGAGATTAGGGAACCCCGCAAGAGGTCGCTTGGTAGTCTCCAAGTTGTTAATGTAATATTCACATACAAACGGACTGCTGTCCCCCTCTTCCACGCATTTTGCAAATATCCTAAGGCAGTAAGTTCCTGGAGCTGGGGTATCAACCTTCAGGATAAATCCATCGTTGGTTTTCTCTGAAATACTCAAAGCTTGATTCTTCAAGATTTTTTTCTGCGATGATCCATCTGTGCCACTAAGGTTCCCATTGAGCGACCAATAGCGCCTATTGTAGCACTGGAATTGAATCTCAGCCCTGCCATTGGTGGTTTCAATGTTGGTAAATGGAGTAACCAGGTCAAACCCGTCATCATAAAAGGAGTTGGAAATTCTGGGAAATCCTCCCGTATTTTTACCGCACCCTTTATTGGCAGTTATGTAGTAGGTTAAGCCGAACGTCCATGTCCCTTCAACGTTGACATATCGATATCGATAGAGTAGTCGCCTTTGATTGGGAACTGTGCATGGAGTCTAACTTGGTTGAGTCCGCAGCGCCGTAACTGTATGCGCTGTCGACAATTGCTCTTTTGACCATCATGAGCCTTCCCAGAACTATCTTTTAGCTTCGCCATCAGTAATATCTTCCTTCCTGGGCAGTAGAAGTCCATTTCTATGGAGTCACTGTCAATGCTGTAGTGGGTTTCGTTGTGAGTGAGAAGTTCGACGCCCATCTCGTAAAGAGGCCCAGATATGACGGCCGCCTTCTCGAATGTCTCTCGAGGCACAGGTTTATCCAATAGCTGCCATTTTTCATCCTCGGGAAAATGATCATAGATGGCATAATCTGGTTGCATTAAAAAGCGGTAGGTATTTGGAGCACGTTGGAAAAGGAGATCATCCCCAAGGCTACCTGAGCCCCAAGTTGCATCTGATAAATACCATTGACCATCAATCTTGAGAGCATTCCACGCATGGTTTGCTCCGTCAACTCTTTGTCCTGCTTTGTAGCCGTAACCTTTGGCATATCCACTTACAAAGTGTATTTCGAGCCCAGATGCTCTCGCCAGTGCTTCATAAAGGTTGGCGTAACCTGCGCAAACAGAAGTCTTGTTGGCGAGAACGTCTTCAGCGTCACAGCTTGCCTTGCTTCGTCTTCCAAAGAACCCTTCGACATCGTAGGAAATATTAAAACAAAGCCATCTGTAGATAGCAAATGCCTTGTCTCTGTCGCTCTCAAATGGTTTAGTGAGGTACTCACTCAGTTCATTGATACCCTTTTCGGCTTTTGGAGGCGTATTCATCACGTGTTTGTCAATTAATTTCTCGTTTTCTGAGCGCTTTAGCAGGTTTCTCAGTCTTATCTTGGCCAATATTTTCCGTACTTGGGTCTGTATTTTAACGACAGTTTCAGGTGACAGGTCTGGTAACTCCTCAGTATGTAGCTCAACACTCTCAGGCCTAACGAAAAGACCATGTTTGGGCTTACAAGAGAAGTATTTTGCTTCTTTGAAGTAGCCATCGTTTCCTTGGTGATGTAGCTTGTCAAGTTCGATACCAATCCAGACACCATCGCCAAGTTCGGTCGAACCAACGAACCTAACCGTTCCAACATAACCCCGCACATGAACGCGCTCACCAACCTTGAATTGTTTTTTCGTAAAGTTATTATTATCGTCATTTGTTGTGGTTTTGCTCTTAGGCTTCTTCGTGATTTCATTCACTTCATGTATTCCACGAGTGTCCTTCTTCGATGGCCCACAACCCATAGTAATCCAATAGTTAAGTTCTGCTTACAAATTTCCTGTATAGTCTTTATTAGTTCAACTTCGCTGATTTTGAAACTTTTCCAAGAGTAGACTGATTCTGTGTTGTTAGTTACCAGCTGTTCGGTACCGTGAGACTGTTTTTCAGTATCAAAGTTCCAATACGAATTTCCAACAAGTCTAAAGCACACAGCCTTCTTCTTCTCTTTCCTCTGCTCTTACTTTGCGGCGTTTTTCAGATCTTTTTTCTGTTTTTAAGACTATAAGTTTGCAGACGGTTTTGGTTTTGCGTTGTTAGTCCTGGCGCTTAGATACTTCACATCCCACCACTTTCTGCTTTTAGACTTCAAACAAACAGCCAAGAATACTAGATGCCATAGTACCTCTGTCTTGAATCATCATTTCCAGCTAGGAAGATAAACACGAGCAAGATCATACACCACTAAAACCTTACACGTATTTCAGCGCTAACTTTACACAAATTCGGCCTTTCTAATTTATTGCAAAGTATTATTTACCGTTGTTGAACATAAGTTCTACTGGTTCCTCAAAGATTTTTGCCTCTCTTGTTTTACTCTAGGTTTTAGTAATGTTTTCAAGAGCGTTGCTAAGAAACAAAAAGAAGATGTGAATATTCAAATGAATTGAAATCGCGAACTCAAAGCTTGAACCTTTTGTGGATAAAACAATAGGTGTTTTTGTAAAACAGTTTAATTAGTCCCATGTTATCGGGCACGTACTTAGCACGTTATTATCTTTTTATTTATATATTCCATGACATTGAAGGAAGAAGTGGAAGCTAAGTTGTCAAGTAATATGAGAAAGCACAACAGAGCTGAACTCCACATTAAAAGCACCCTAAAAAACCCTAAAAAGAGCGACTAAAATTTACGAAAATAAGGACTTAGAAAATTGATTTGTTAATACTAAACAATTTGAGGAAACAGATCTGTGAATTTTAGTAGAGTTATTCAATAGATTAAATGAATGAACTTTATTAAATGTAATCTTTATATGTTAACTTAATCTGCAGGATTACTTGCAGTTAATTCCAGATAATACTATAAATATACTAGGGCCTTATGGAAGTTTTTTATTATGCGCAACTCCTATCAAGTCTAAAAAGTGAATCAGTATATGCAAAACAATTGCCATATGAGAATTTTTTTGTCATTATTTACATATTTACACTCAGGCCTCTTCTAGTCCTTATGTCAATGTCCTAGTGTGCAACTGTTTTTCATATTCTACATTTTTATACAGCTATTTTTAAAAAGGCCTTAGGCCACTCATGGCACAGCGGCAACTGATGAAGATGTTGATTCCAAAAAAGGATGGTGAAGGTTTTGTTCTAGTATCATGTTTTTAAAGAGCTAGACTACTAATGATTAAATAAGGAAATCATATTTTTTAGGAATGGAACCAGATACCAGAATTGTAAAGAATAGGTCCAGAAGTTAGAGGATTTCATGCAAGAATAAGCCAGTCATGTTAAAGACTTCATAACTTCAAGTTTTTCATGATAGATTTTGTGGAATTCTTGGGCCAGAAAGTAAAACGGTGCTTCCACATTCTGGTGTTCTTTCTGCAAAATAAAGAAATTACATAAATCTTTTTTTTCTTTTTTCTTTGCTGGATGCAAGTCCAAGAATTCAACCCAAGACTTTAAAGGTGAGGGATGGCTTGCACTACACTTCATCCTTGATTTCCTTTACACTGTCGATCACATTTTTTCACTGTCAAATTAAATCTGGGATAGAAACACAATACTTACAGCAGAACACTCAAAATATTCCAAATCCTTTGAGCTGGCAAATTCCTTTCCTTCCTTGGCTGATATTACTCTTCGCTGTTTGAGGTCAGTTTTGGTAGCAATCAGAGCACCTATGATATAAAACAAGGAATACACTCTTCAAAACTGGTAAACACATAAAACTTACTTAGTATAGGAAATCCCACGATCTCCAGTACAATTTTAGGAATTTTTAGGTACAAGTGATGTTTTGAAAGTTTTCAAAATTGGACGATTTTTTAGGTGAGTTCAATTTTAGAACTTTCAAAACATCACGAGTATCTATAAATTTAGAGTATCTATAAATTTAGAGTATCTATAAATTTAGAGTATCTATAAATTTAGAGTATCTATAAATTTAGAGTATCTATAAATTTATTTTTTGCTTATAACACACTCAACAAAATTGAGCAACTTAATTGGGACTCTACAGAGTACAATTTGGGATTTAATGGTACTCCTCTTTCTGATCCAATCAGAATGGAGTAATCTTGTAGAGTGTATTACAAATTTATAATATTGTCCTTGTTTTATGAAGGTAAGCACTTTATAGCTAGCGGCACTTAATAGCTTAATGATGTTTGTATAAAATGCAAAAGGGACAGTTCATTTTTTATTGTTACTGGGGGGGGGGGGGGGGGGAGTGCGGTGTGATTTGTGGGGGGTCATTATATAAAATCAGGCTCAAGAGGGAAACATAAGAAAAAAATCAGAGTCACACAGCAGTTTTTCACTAAACAGAATGGAGAACAAGGAGGGGGRGGCATTTTTTATGCAACAACTGATAGGGGGGGTTGGATTGATTGTATGGGTTACCAAGAGAATTCCACTGTCCTCTTCCTCCCCCACTCCCAGATAATAATGATTGGTCCATAAGTATTTCTGAGTACCTGGTACACTTTGGTAAGGTGTTGCAGCTCGGCATCTTTCAAGCCATTTATTACAAGCATTAAATGACTGTTCATTGGATACATCATATGCCACCATAATAAGATTAGTATTCTCCCACTATAAATAAAAAAAGATAAGTTTATAAGGGAGTGGGGTTGGGAGGTCACTATGAGGATAGCATATTCAATTAATTTCTTTAGGTATCATCATTTATGTGAGAGAAGGAGGGATGGGAGGGGGGGAGGGTTAGAGGATTTTATGACAATTCCGATCTTACATGGAAAAGGTGTTCATATTTTTTCCCAAGAAGGAATTAAGAGAGTCTTCTGATGAAGAAGGGGTTGAAAGGGTAGGGTGCCCTTATTTTTGTTTAACACAGGTAGCCCAATCTGAGAACTCAATCAACTTACATATTGTTGTACTGTCTCTGAGAACAGCTCTTTACCAGCAGAATCAAAGATGTACAACTCCTGTAAACCAAATAATTGCAGCAATTAAAAATGCAAACATGTATGATGACATAAAAGCTATGCCTTGCACCTTTCAAAGAGGCTGTAGCTACAACAATAGAAGTTTGTTTTCAAATCTTTAACAAAAATATTCTGAAGTGTTACTTTATGGGTAGCAGGGGTGGCGTACACTGCTAACACATTGTCTTTCACCGCTGCAAGTCCAATGGGTCGGGTCGCTGGTTTGAGCCCTACGGATGCACATGGGACTTGGGTTTGTTTGACATGTTGTTCTCTCCCATGCTATGAGGGTTTTCTCCGGGTTCTCCGGTTTCCTCCCTCCATAAAAATCAACATGTGAGTTGAACATTTATGTGCGAGAACATTGATTGTAGTGGTAGTGTGTGTGAGTGAAAAGTACCCCCAATTAGTGTGAAAGTGCTGGAATGACTAGACCCTTAAATAAAGAGATTTATTTTATTTTTATTTAATATTTTATAATTCGTATGAAATTTTACCACAGAGTCCGAGGTCTCAGGAATATGTACAGTTTTGACCGACACTTCTGCCCCAACAGTCTAAAATAAAAATAAGATTATATAGCTTAAATAATTGAGGAATTATACAAACAAAAATCATATATATGCTTACCAAAGTATAGTTTTTAGGAAATTGAGAGCCATCACTATGAAATACTTGAGTAAGTGCAGTTTTACCCACACAAGAATCGCCTAAGAAATGAAAATATTGACAAGAAAAACGTCTATCAAAAATCGAAAATAGAAACCTTCGATCCCAAATTCAGCTGAATATTTCTTTGAGGTCTAACTCACCTGCAATTAAGAGTTTGGCTCGAAGAACCACCATTTTTAAATAGTTTTTTAGCGAAGAATTCAGAGCAAAAAATAGTTTTCARATTATCATGGAGGTCAAAGTTAGTAATGCGCCCGCGATATAAAACAAATAGAAAGGTTTTGATAAGTTTCCTTGACCAGCGGAGCTGCCATGGCAACAAGGAGTACGCTAATCAATACTGAGCTTTTTGAAGTCTCCAAGCCAACATGAAAATATTCACTTTTAACACTCTTAAAGATGTTAAGATAAAATTCATTAAGTCTAATTATTTTTCCTTGTTTAGCAGAGTTCAGTATTCGTCAAATCGTTTACCCAAAAAGTAGAATATATTTTTGTTTGATTCAGTTATAATGGCGAGTATTTATTTGCCTCCAATCGCCCGCAAGAAAAAAGTCGATGGTTGGCCCAGGTGAGTATAGACAAAATTCCAATTTACTTTGCGAAGATTCTAATATTGCTGCGCTACTTGATCATCTTTCAGGAATCTTTGGCAAACAAAAATTTTAGCTAATAATTTGAAGGATTTTTCGTATGATTTTCGTAACATAGCACCTCAATGTTTGTTTTGCAGTAGAATGGTTTTCATACTTCATCGGGACAAAAAGATCTATTTATCACCATGTACAAACACAAATAAGCGCATAATTTCTTATTGTTATGAGATATTGCAAGTACATGTCTTAATTCATAAGCGTGAAAAGTCGAAGATTTTTGTTCAACTCAATATTGTTCTTTAAAAATCGATTTACTCGCGGTACTAACCTAAGCTCTCTTCAAACACTAAAAATTCTTGGCAAGATTTAAAGGATTATTTAAGTTTATTTTAAATATTTTTGTCAGCTATCGCGTTTCACTCTTAAGGTTTTAAGATAAAGTAAATTCTCGATTTTAGCTTTTTAATCTTAAGTAAAGTTAGGAAGTCAGTGGGTAGGCATTTTGATGTTGAAATTCAATGACTTTGACGTGTTAATCTTCTAATTAGGCTGGAAAAAAACCCACAAATTAAAACCCATAAAATTGGGAAAATGCAAACGAAAAGGCCTCTTGAATACAATATATTCTTCTTCTTCCCATTTTTAGGCAGAATACCTCTAGAGTATTTCCAGATATGGAAGAGAATGCCAAACAAGAAGGTACGAGTTACACATCCCAGTTTATACGCCATAATGTTCCTCCAGCACCCCAAAGGATTGCATCTGCAAGTCGTAAAAATAAACCGCAGCCAAAAGCGGTAACATTCCTACGACAAAACCCAAGATTCGTGTGTGAGCCAATATGCCATGTGGACACAACCGTACAAGCCGAAGATAATGGAAATGTTCTTTCATGGTGGCCAGATGAAACAGTACAAACACCGGTGAAGAAGCCTTTGTATAGCCTAAGTTCCACTTCAAGAGCTGATTATAAAAACTTTCATTCCTGCAGCTCTCAGACTGGATACTCTAGGCATGAGAACCTAGGTTCTAATGCACCAAGGTCTAAGGGTGCTGTGGGGATTGTACCAGGATACAGAACCTCTGAGAATTCACACCCTATTTTAGAGAAAATCTCTTATGAACATCAGTTTAACTCAAGGCTAGACCCGAGTCATCCTGTTAGAGGTAAGCGACATGGATGTTTTGTGTGGAAAGTCGTAACACCAACAAGAAATAAACATGGCAGGGATAGGTCATTAAGCACAAACAAAAATGATATAAGAGACGTGTCTTATGAACTGACAAATGCTGAAGCAATTGATGATAACATGGATGCCAAGTCAATGGTATCAACTTTGAGTGATAAAACTACAAAAGTTGTTAAAAGCAATGCAAAGGGATCCAACGAACTGCAGTTGAAGAATGATGCATGGTGTGCCCCAGCACCCAATACCAACACCATGGATGTTGATAGGCTACAAGAGCAAACAACACAAAGTGCTGTCTACGAAATGACTGATGACGAAAAGAAAGACCTGATAAAACCTTCAAGACCAAGGCGTCTTTCACCACCACCCCATACAATTTGAATCATTAACTTATAGATTAAAAATAAAAATACCATGATATCTTAAGGTGTCGGATCAAGGTCTTAATTTCTAGAATGGTCCCTAAAATGTTGAATTTTTATAGCAAAACCAAATGCTTGCAATATCAAAATCAAAGGAGTCAAAAGGGTAAACTTCAATTTGAGTTTAAGAAAAAGAGTTGTGTATATGGAAACAACATTTCTATATTGTGCAAATAATCAAATTTTGTCTTCTCATTACTTTTACAAGATATAGAAAAAAAATACTGGAAATTTTTTTTTGAAAATCCAAGCATTTAAAAAATGCTACAAAAATGTTTTGCAAAAGAAGAAAATGTCAAGCAAAAGTGTTCATAGGAATAAAATTCCTTATTAATTATAAAACCATGGTGTTTCTTAAAGTGCAAATGAACCCTTCGACAATACTTTCAATACTGATCATACATGAAGTAAATAGTTGAATGGTAAAATATTTCTTGATTTGAGTGATGCGTYTCTAAWTTATGAAGGTTTATACTTTCAATATGCTAATAAGTGTGACGTCTATTAAGGCTTAATTAAATATACAAAATCGAACTGGTTCATAGATACAGTATTTAAAAAGCATCATTATTTTACTCATGGTTTACATGAAAGCTATTAAAAAATTTTATTTTCAAAATGACCAGCATTAAGTATTACTAGTTACAACAAAAACACTCAAATACCTTACCTGACGTCATCATCATTAACATATTGGAAGTATAAACCTTCCTAACTTAGAGACGCGTCACTCAAATCAAGAAATATTTTACCAATCAACTATTTACTTTATGCAGAACCGGTACTGAATGCATTGTCAAAGGGTTCATGTGCACTTTAAGTCCTGGATATATATATTTGGGCTACAAATATTGTGTAATGAAAAAATCCTTAGAATTTCACCAATACCTTGATATCTTTGGGTTGGTCTAAGCCAAGGTATGGCTAACTCATAGATCAAACACTGAAACAACCTCTGGGCTGATCTAAGTCAGGGCATGGCTAACTCACAGATAGAACCCTGGAACCTCCTCTGGGCTGATCAAAGTCAAAGCACAGCTAACTCACAGATCAAATTGGAAATTGGCTTGGTAGGTTTTTACAGAAGGAGGAAAACCATACATCTTGGAGAAAAATCTCTATCATACTCTAGCCTCAAGTCCAGAAATTCAACCTGAGATTCTAGAGATGAGAGGTGTGAGCGCTATAGCTCTATGCTTCCCCAAAAACAAAAAACATATATCTAAAATTAAATAATTGTAATTGTAATTCTCAACTCTTCATGCATGAATCCATCTTAGCAAATTTACATTATCAAACTACACTGCTGCATAAAACTATATGTACGTATATTTAATTTTTTTTCACAAAAATTTTCCAGTGAAAAAAAAAACAAAACCATTTTATCTATTTTTCAAAATTGTCTTCAAAGTTTTTCTGTTTCAATCAATTTTCTTTTCCGTCGTTTGTTTTTGTTCTACTGCTGGTACCCTTGTTGCGAGCCAATGGCCTGTTAAGTAGATGGATACCAGTAAGATATAGGATGCACCAAAGAACGCTGCAATGGAGGGAAGTGTCATCTTTTGCAGGAAAGGATACACCCAGAAATCCGATACGCTCACAATTAAGAAAACCCAAGCCGTATAGAGTATGCCAAACCCTAAAACTGCCTTAATTCCAGTACGTTTAGTAGGGTATTCGTGTTTGAACAGGAGTTGTTCTAACATTACTGCGATACCAGGGAAGGAATGCATGTAGTGGTTGAGCCAGACTGGGGTAAGCTTAGCTTCCTTTTCGTTTTGGCATGAGTATGGATCGACCATATACAGCCCCCAGAATAGCAAGGTCACTATTAAACCAATCGGAAAGACCCAAGCAGCAAAGAGAAGGTCGCAGAGATAAGAAGAAACTTCACTCTTTCGTTTCTTGATGAAAAACTGTACGTCTGAAACCACAGAAGAGGTGAAATAAATCCATTGTAAAATCATATTGAGGAAAGTTAGGAACTTGAATCTCCCACCAAATATTTTATAGGCGTCAAAGTCCAGTTCTGTGCAGTGGTAGGTGATCCCAATGAGGTGTAGCAAGCAACAAAGGTACCGGAAAAACAGGCGAAACTTTGGACTCTCTTCCGCCATGATGGATAACAACAAAGTGAGGCGGGTTGGGACAGAACTAACCACAGGGAACCCACACAGGATATTTCCTATGTATAAACAGGACAAACTTTAAAACCAAATACTTTTTTGGGAATTTTTCTTGTTCAATCGAAAAGGAAAAAAAACCTCTTGACTTGAATTTTTCTTGTTCAATCGAAAAGAGAAAAAAAACCTCTTGACTAAAAAAGGCAAAGACGGCCAATAAACTTGACAAAGTAGCTTGTGGTACATCGTAAAAGCTGGGAAATGCCCTGAATTTAGGATCAAGAAATATCCATTTTAGGAAAATAAATAAAGAGCTTAATTAAAAAGGTATTTAAAACTGCTTGTTTTTCAATATTCCAAGCAAAATAAGAACAAATTAAAAATAAAAATTTGAATAATAATTAATATTGCATGTGCTGAACCAAAACTCAAACGAAATTTTTATTAGACCCGTGAATATTATTAACAGAAAATCTATTGTTTTAGTCTATTTTTACTTTCTAAAGCAGGAAATATCGTCTGAGAGTGTTTGAGAGACGAAATAAATGGAAATAGCTAAAAAGGAAAAAATCTTGCAAGAAATACAACAATTGAGTGAGTTATGGGCGAGGTCAATGGATCGAGTACGAAATATTACCAAATGACAAGATTTCTTATACCTTCTCGTACTTTTTCTCCTTAACTTTTCGGTTATTTCTTTATGTATACAAGGAAATTGAAAACGTTATGATGACAGAAGAAGGTTCTAATGAGAGTACGTCTAACAAAATTTAATTAATTTGTAAGATTTTGTTCAAAACTTTGTTTCCATACCAAATATAGTGGTTTTTCATGGATTTTTTTACAGATTTATATCTGTAATGTTCACCATCTTTTCTTTTCCATTGTTGTAGACGGGGTTTTGCGTATAAAGAGTCATAACTCGCGATGTTCTACTCATAGCGAATGAAAAGCTTTGATGCTGAAGGATTTTCAAGTGACAATGTGTCACCTAACTGAAACGAAAGCTAATCCATGAAAATGAAATTTAACTAACCGCGAGCTCACAATAACACAGATTTCGTGCCAACAACACTGCACTGCCACACGTTTGTGCACGAAAAAATGAAAACTGCCATCATCCCGTAATCTTTTGGCTTGATCTGGTTTTTCACTTAGTATCGACTCCCATAGCGAAAAACTCCAAACTTGTCGTTCACACACTCAAAAAATATTTGGTTTCTTAATGCCTTAATCAAACAAGGAATGAGACATGAAGATATCTTATTTTTTGGGAATTCTAGTTCAGCTCTGGATAGTACAAGCTTTCAACGAAACAGATGTAGTTCGGGTAAGTCTAAAAGTGTTTTTCTTAATATATCGTTTTAAAGTCCGCTTTTAAAAATACTTTTGATATAGCCGGTGAATACCATTGAGTGGGTGGGGGAAATATCATCACCACTGACTTAAGTATTATTTAGTTTTAAGATATAGAGTTATTATCTTGATATTTCGTATTTTAGTTTTACCTGTTCAGTATAAATCGTAAACTGATCTCGAAACAAACAAATAAACAAACAAACATCAGTGACAATTCAAGCTGAGTGAATAGTTGAATAACTTAAGTGGCAGCCAACGGGAATGTCGAGGAAAGGGTGATCCTAACATAAAACGAGAGTACGTCTCTTGTTTTTTCAAAAACATGCTTCCTGGATCTTATTGTATTTGAGATCAAAAAGAGTATCAAAATTGAAAAATTGTACTCTCTAACCGGATGGTCTGGAGTGTATTGTATTGTGTATTGTCTCAGCAGCATTCTTGTAACCAAATGTCGTTCGTCCTTTCCTGGCTCTTCCTCCGCTCTCGGGAGCAAACTACACAGACTACTAGTCTTATATCTTTTTCCATTGATAGGCACCTCGCGCAGAAGAACCAACCGAAGAGCCAGAAACCCCAGTATGGTACTATCTTCCTATAGTAGTTGGAGTACTAGCACTCCTGACTGTCATCGTTGTTCTCTACATGAACGGAAAACGACGGGCCATGAGGAGAAGAAGGCGGCGCGCAGAGCGTCAAACAATGCACATCAGTGTCCCAGTAGAGGGCACGTTGACTTCTCTCATGGGGAATGCCTCGGTTGATGTTGTAGCGGTGAATGCGCGCCCTATAGGGAACCCGCAGCTCAAGACAAAAATGCTGCAAACATTCAATGACGAGGAAAGCCTTAGCAACTCATTCGAAAACTACAACGATGATGGCAGTGATGATGCACTTGGTGCTTTAGAAGACTATATCAATACCAAAGGTCTCGACTATGGACAGGACTCTCGCACATCAGTTTCTCAGCCAAATTTCAAAGGAAATCAAAACGTAAACACAAATATGCTGGGGAAATTCGAGAACGGTGCCTCAAAGAAAGTTCCCTTCATTCCTCCCGCTATCTCTGTGGAGCTCGTCCGAAAGCAAAGCGAAAAAGATTCTCAAATCGAAAGAGGAAACAGAAACAAAAATCACGGAGCTCTTTTGCCAGACTGGGGGCACAGGAAAGAAGAACTGGTTTATGAGAATCAAAACTCCGCGTCCGTTCGTGCGGCCAAATCGTTCGAAAATTTTAGAGAGCAAGGCCAACAGCCCTTATACGTGAATAACACTCAAGCCTTTCTCATGAAGAAAGAAAAATCTGGAGAACATTTCAATAAGAACCAACCGATGCCAGAACTTCCTCTCAAACGTAAATTAAGACGAACAGATGGACTTGAAGCGCAGACCAAAACCTGGGAAAAAGGAAGAAGCTCGAACTACGAGAACGTTTTCGGAGGCGAGGGCGTCGGTGGGTCGTGGCAGCGAGGCGCAGTGTACCAAAAGAATAAAAACAGAGCTTATGTTGTTGGTCAAGGTACAAAATCTAGTAATCTGAAGGATGGCCCAGACTATGAGAATGCACCGTCTTTTGGCGGGAAACTTTTAGCGCAAAAAACACAGATGGCAGCGTCTTGTGGCTCACAGGGTGCGCCTAAAGTAACGTCACATGAATCTCGAAGACGAGGTGCTGGGTTCACAAGAGAGGACAACAAGGCCGTTAGACGTAGTAGATCTAACGTTGACGCAATGCTTCAACCCGCGGTGTATACAAACGAAGGTGGACATTATGGACAAGGTGCACTTGAAAGTAAAGAGAGTATTAGCAGCGACAATCACCAAACTAATACTGAAAGTCTTATGCACTTACTGGGACTACCGATTAACCTTAGCTGTTCAGATCAAGTAAACACATGTGAAGATGATTATCTACCCATGGATGACTACGATGATAACCAGGCATAATCTCCGTCATTTTAGGCTTTATCTCGAAGTAAATGAGTCATTCATTCCATGGTTTTTTTATTTCGTAAACCATTCTCGTAATGGCTTACGAGTGCACGAAAATGAGGCCACACAGTCATGTCGCAAGCCTGACCATTCAAAATAAAGGTGGATGGCGCGAATTCAAGTCAAAACAATTCCTATACTTTTCTTCTATACACGCATTGCATGTGCTTTTATATTTTTTATTTTGAACTAATGACTGGGTGACCTCGTTTTCGTGCACTTATCAGCCGTTATGAGAAAGGTGCATACTACGCACGTCTTTGATAATCATCCTCCATCCTTTTCAACGCTCCAAAAGAAATGTATTAATAAACATGTAAATGAAAAAGTTAATCTCATATTTTTCTAAAGTTTGAAACACAGAAACATTGAACCAGACTGCAAAAAGTGACAAGTAGTTTTACGACAGTACGGAAATATAAATGATGGCGCCCAGGAAGATTGCGTGACGACTCTAAACAACAAACAAAACAAAACATCTTTATTTGGCACTCCTTGGATTGATATACAATAAAATTTATAAAATAATAATGTATACATCATAGATGGGCGCCAGCCATTTAGAAATAGCAGAGCTAGTCCAGCTAAATGGCTGGGTCAAACGGGAAATTATAGAAGGAAATGTATAAAGATGACATACTATTTGATTGACAGCACCACCAAACCACGAACGATTGTAACTCCTGTATATCTTTACAAGCGGTTATTAGATGCATTTTTTAATTGTCTAGACAGGCTTATTGCTAGTTTTCTAGTCATCCGCTCTTAGTGTTGTCACGCAAAGGTTTCTCCATAAAAAAACTTTTAGTAACCGGCTGCGTAGAATAGATTATTCCATGCCCATTTACATCATATTTCATAAGAATACTTGCGCAATAGAGGTTATAATGAAATTGTAACTTATTCTTCAGCGTTTACCGCGTTAGTATTTCCATGTCATGCAGACACACTTCAGCCCCAGAGAAAAGAAAAATGTCAAATAGGGTTTGGAAGCTGGGAATATTTAAAGCTATTGGATTCTGATTTTTAAAATAATAATGATATAGAACTGTTGTTAAGGATTTTATGATGCTTACATGAAGTTTAATAATATAGTTAATGTTAATAAACACCCTTATGAAACAAAGCATAAATATCAATTTTATGGAACAATTATTGAATGAATAATATAATTTATAATGCACTATGATATTTTGATAAATTATTTGACATGTGCTAGAGGTCCAGAGTGGACCATAAATGATGCGCATCTGACGTGGACCATAAATGACGCGCATCTGACGTGGACCATAAATGATGCGCATTTGAAGTGGACCATAAATGATGTGCATCTGACGTGGACCATAAATGATGTACAACTGACGGACCATATATGATGCGCATCTGACGTGGACCATAAATGATGTACA